GAAGTTAACTCATGCTTCCTCATTTCCACCTGGCCTACCACAGTCTTCAAGAGTCACTGAGTAAATTAAGTAAGACAAATGCATGTTTTGTTCTACTTTTTATTTTTTTAAGAAAGGAAATTTAATAAAGAAGGAACAAGAAATATACAAAGAAAGAAATAGGGAATTAAGGGGAATAATTTACAACTTTGCATGAACAGGTTGCACAAGAATACAAATGTAAAGGAAGGGATGGGTCTGAAAGTATTTCAAGAGCTACACCTTCCCTAAATCAGATAAAAAAGGATTGAACACACCCATATGCAATGAGACTCATATACAAGCACATTAAAAAGGAATAAAACTAGGGAGGAAAAGTTGTGAATAAGAGAGAGGGTAAATTTCCAAGGGAATCAGAAAAAGCAAAACAAACTTCCACACCAAAGGACTGATAATAAAGGAAGGTTTAAAAAGAAAAAAAGTAAGCAAAGAACCAGAGATAATAGTAAGGGCTAGGTAAAGAGAGGAGGGACAGTGGAGTAGAAACAGCACACTTTAATTAGAGATAAATAGTCCTAATCAGATTCCATCTCTTTCTTCATTTCCTTTTCTATAAAGAGGAAGTCAAGAGAAAAACAGAGGAAAAAAATGCAAGAGGCTATCAGGAAGAGAAAAACACAATCAAAATTCACAACCCTAAAATTGAATGGAATAAACTCACCCAAAAAAGAGAGGGGGGATAAACAATGGATAAACAATATCTTGTTTACATGGATAAAACATAAAACATAAACATAAACACATAAAAGATCAAAAAATTCAAATGTAAAGGAGACTAAAACTAAATTATACATCATGCATATCCAAAAAAAGCAGAGAAAGCAATTCATGCTCTCAAAGAAACAGTGTTTAAAAGAGATAACCAGCACCATAAATAAGTAATAACACCAATGTTATAACACATGAACTCAATGACATAGAATCTAAGAACCAAGTTAGTTCTATAGAGAGAAACAGATAGCAAAACTATAATAGCTGGGAATTTGAATGGTCAGTTCACGCAACTAGAAAAATCTAACAAGATAATGAATAAGAAAGAAGTTAAGGACATGAACAGAATGTTAGAGAAGTCAGATATGATATATCTTTGTCAACTACAGAACAGGAACAGAAAGGAACATAAATATTTCTCAGCCTGACGTAGCATCTTTACAAAAACTGACAACATACTATGGCATATAAACCTAATAAAGAAATGCAAAAAAAAAAAAGCAAACATATTAAACATATCCTTTACTGATAATAAAACAATAAAAATTAAAATCAATAAAGGGCCTCTGAAGAAAAGATTCAAATTTAAATGGAGACTAAATAACCATCATAAGAACTGGCAAAACAAAGAACAAATCAGAGGAACAACGGATAATTTCATGAAAGAAAATGACTACATGATAGCATGATTCTTCTTTGAAGTTGATATTAAATGTTGCTTGCTCATGTACATCACATACCTCTGTACTGCCATCTCTGTGAGACCTATTTAAAATTTTTCTGAGACTAGTGTTCTAGGGCTAGAAGTGAAACTATAATACTGGTAAAAATGGGACAAGGATGGGGTCTGAACCTTTAATTTCATTTGTGAAGGGAATTCTTAGATGAGGAAATTTCCTCTATCAATGCAAATACATGGAAGTAAAGAACAATCCAGAAGAAAGGCAAAAAACAATAACATTAAAAGAAAATATACTCACCATGCAAGCCAAACATACTGATCTCAAAGACAGAATGTGTTAAGACAACATAAGGATCTTAGGGCTCCCAGAAGAACAAGATAGGTTAAAAAAAAACTTAAACAGTATGATGAAGATAAAAATAGAACTGCCCAGAACTTCTGAAAACAAAAAATGAAAATACCAACTAAAATAATTCAGATTGCCTTTGAAAAAAAAAATTTAAAAACCCAAAGATTCCAAACTCGAAAACACATAGCAGTTAAAATTAATAATTCAATTCAGAAACAAGTTCTGTAAGCCATCAGGACAAAAGACCTTCAAATAAACACAAAGGAAGCATATTTAAATACTGTAAACCTATTCTGCACCCACTAGAAAAACATAGGAAGTAACAGAATAACATGTTCCAAAGAGCAATAAAGCTCAGAATAGTGGAAAGTGACTATTCTGCAAATGTGAACTTAATCATACAGGATGAAAGGTGAACATTCAATAATAAAGATGAATTTGGAACATTACGAATAAGAAAACAAGAACTAAAAAGATTATTTGCTTCCAAAAAGCCCAAACAACAAAAATGCAGGAGTGAATAAACGCAGCATTTAATGACAGCAACAACAACAAGGTAACAACACAGAGACCAGTAAGAGACATGTCTAAATATACACAAGGAAATAAGGGTGAAGACAGAAATCTGGTAGAAGTAAAAGTGAAGAAGCAGATGGGTGGCATTATAGACAGAACCTGGGGACACCCTGCTTACAAGTGAATTCATGTTTTTTGTGAGGCCACATTACAACATGAGAGGAGAAGGAGAGAAGGGGTATAGAGAGGTTTGGGTAATGTGCTGGGATCAAATCGAGGGCTAGCGATGAGGAGAATATGAATGCTATGATCTCTGATAGAGAAAAGCCTAAAGAAAAGTGTGTGAGGAAGAAGGGGGGAAAGATAGAAAAGGGGAAGAAAGGAAGGAGGCCTAACTTTGGATGTGGGAGGGAGTTATGTTAATGAATGAGCATGGATAAAGATAGCCAGTAAAGGAAATAAAGACCTTATACGGAATGAAGCCTGAAGGATTTAGTGCTTGAAAAATCTACCTGGCCTACATTGGAAGGGGAATAGTTAGAACCCCTGGCGTCAACTGGCACCTGGAGGAGTGAGACAGCAGGGACACAAGGAGGAAATTTAAAGGTAAATGTAAGGAAAACAGTAACAAAAGGAGGGTATAGATCAGTAGTGGGCTGCATAATCAAAAAGTTGGAAAGGGACCTAGCATGGCACAGCATCTTCTCTGACATTGGCAATAACGGCATTGTTCTGGGAGTAAGGCACAATGGAAAAGGGGGATCTGGAGGGCAAACCCTACCAAGAAGTGGCAGAAATGAGAAGGGAGAGAACCTAGAATAGATACCATGTAAGCTTCGATTACATGAAGAAATATAACGAAAAGATACCAAATAATTATAAGGGCCATGAACCATAGGGTCTAAATAGACAGAAAGAGAGAAGGGATGATGAAGAGAATGAAAGAAATCCTTTCCAGAAAGGGGCATAAAAATAAATTTTAATTTTTTTTTAATTTAAAAAGTTAACGAAAAAGACTAGCTGAAGAGGGGAGAAGGGGAACCCTACTTGACTGAGAGGTAAAAAAGAGGAGGAAGAAATACATAGTCAGATAAAAGTGAGAGAGAAAAAGGAACTAATAAACAAAACCTTAAAAAGGAAAGTGGTAACAAATGAGAAAAGGGGATCAGAGTGAAGGAAAGAGAGTCAGTGGGAACAGGGACATCTTAAAACAAGATTAAAGTAACTGAAAGAACATAATTCTGTGTTTACAACAGAAAATGGAAAAGAACATAATTTTTTTAAAATAATTTTAAAGACATAAGAAAATATAGACCTAATTCTCATAATTTTAAATGTGAACAGATTAAACAATAAAATGCAAAAGTGACAATGTAAAACAAAACCCTACATTATGGTGCTTACAAGAAATTCATGTAAAAAACAAAGACATATACACAAAATAAAACTGAGGGGGATGCAAAAAAAAATTTACTATGTATCAAGTGAATCCAAAAAAACAAGAACTGCCATGCTAAATGACAAAACAAAAACAAACATTCAAAAATATAAAGGGATAAGTTGTTCAGTCATTTTTTAGTCATGCCTGACTCTTCGTGACCCCGTTGGGGATTTTCTTTGCAAAAATATTGGAATGGTTTGCCATTTCCTTCTCCAGCTCATTTTACAGATGAGGAAACTAAGACAAACAGGGTTAAGTGACTTGCCCAGAGTCACACTGCTAGTAAGCGTCTGAGTCCAGATTTGAACTCAGGAAGAGTCTTCCTGACTTCAGACCTAGCACTTTATCCACTGCACCACCCAGCTGTACTCCCCAACCCTAAAAAAGGGATAAATAATGAAATAAAATTATGCTGAAAGGAACCATAGGCAACAAACCAATATCAGTAATAAATTTATATGTTTCAAATGCATCCAAATTAATAATAAAAACATGATCTGAAATTCAAGAAGATAGAGACAATAAGATACTAATGACAACAGACATTAATTTCCCTCTCGGTTTTGGCTAAATCTAAGAGAAAGATGAACCAAAGGGAACTCGTGGAACTAAACAAATTTCTAGAGAAACTAAAGTTAAAAGACTTAATGGCATCTCCTAAGTTGGACAGTAAAAGTATATACATATTGAAGGTGAAATATAATGAAACTAGAAGAAATTTTTAAAAATCAGAACAAATTATTCACAGGTATATGCTAACAAAACTAAGGACACAAAAGAATTAGAGGAATGCCTTCAAAAATATAAAATATCCAAAGTATCAGAAGCCCAAACAGAGATCTTAAATAACCTAATCTCAGAAAAGTTCCATGAAACGACTATATAGTTATGTTTTGAAAACTTCAGGTAAAAAAGAAAAAAAAATTAGTTCTCCAAACAAATACACAATGCTCTGTTTATTATTAATAAAAATCTACTGAGCCAGAAAACGGCTTAAAGGAAATTTTTTCATATTATGTGTAAATATTTACATAATTTACCATACCAAGAAATGTGCAATGTTATATATTTTACTTTCTCAAAACAAGTCCTAAGAATGATTCTATATTTTATCTATACCCCCAATTTTTTGTACTTTGTGTTCCACATTCAAGTGAATTGTTAAAAGTAAAAATATTAGTCTGCTTATAAAGTTAACGTTCAAATAGCAAGAATAAGAATCATTAAAATCAACATTTTAATTCACTAACTGCTACACATACCTTTAGCCAAAGCTTCTTTATATTTCTCTTTGGCATAATTCATTTCTTTTATTAATTGTCTATAGCTTGTTTTTAATTTATCCAATTCTGTCTTTGTGACCTATAAGGGAAGCAAATGCAGAAAAGATATTTGGACAAATAATTTAAACATGCATCTAATTCTTTTATTTTTTTAAATACAGACCTGTTATTTCATTATTGTAAGGCACTCCTGATTATGAAATTCACTCTACCAATGCCAATCAAGAAATATTCTGCAATTTATAATATTAAAAGAGTTTCCTGGGGGTACTGAGAGTTTAAACAATTTATCCAAAGTCATGGAACCAATATGTCAGAAGCAGGAGTTGAACCCAAGTCTTCCTAACTTGCCTCTCAACTAATTCTTAAGCCATAAAAATCAGACACATAATTTAATTACTTTTCTTTAATACGCAATTATAAACTATCCTTATGTACAATCAAACTAAAATAACTTCAAGCCTCAATGAATTGAGATAAATTCAACAAAAGTAAATAATAAACTCCTTTCCACAATCTGAAAGTTAATGGCCTTTTATTTGCCAGATGCAGAGATAATACTTCTTACAATTAAAGGAAACTAATTCAAAAAATCATTCATTTTAATTATAGAAAACAACTCTTCATCTAACCCAACCAAAAAGCTTAATTCATCTAAGAAAAACAACCAATTAAATAAGTTACAAAAAGATGATAAAAATGTCCAATAAGGATAAAAGACAAATGAATAAAAGCTATGGCTAAAAGATATACCTTGAACATATCTGCCTCAATTTGCTGGTGAACACCTATATAACTCTTCTTCACTTGCTGCTTATCTTTGATCATCATAGTGAGCCTGTGTAATGGACCAGAGTTAAGGTCTTCTGCATGTGTCTTCATTATTTTGCTAAGCTGTTCTGTTTGTTGAATCATTAGTAGCCAAGTCTAGACAAAAATAATAAAAGAAAAAGAAATATCAGAAGTCCCAACTAACTTAAATGGACAAGCAAATATTTTTAATATAGACAAGATTTTTCAATAAAAAATTGTAGCTTTCTAGTATGGTTCTGTTAGTTATTAATGGCTTATGTCAAACACCTTTTGTTTCAAAGATAGATCAATGACAAACTAAAAATTCAAAAAGAAGCTACCCCAAGAGGGAAATAACTCAGAAACAAACAGAAATATATATCTACAGTTCAAAATTCACAAGTGCTGCTGGCTCATCATAACCTACCACCAATTTCTACCATAGTTTAAATAATAGAAACAGAGTCAGATTGGAAATCTAAAGAAACCTTCTACCCTTGGTTAAAAGTATATGGCTTGGGACTGAATTTGTGATGTATTTCTATGGTAGAAGAGAACTCCCAAATGAGAAAACATCTCACATCAATACAGGTTGGCACCCTGTCTGCAACTTATATTCTTAGCTGGCTAGAGTAAAGAGAAGTTAGGTGGTTGCCCTGGGTCACTAGGTCAGTATGTCTCAGAGATGGGAATGAATCCCGATCTTCCTGGCTCCAAGGCCAGCACTCTATCCCCTATGCCACAGCTGCGCCTACAGTATAGATTATAAACAGGTATAAAAAGAAAAGTGAAAATGCCAATCGATGTAACTAAACAATAAAACAAAAATCATGAAGTTTTCTTCTTTTCAGAAATCTGATCTTGACACATAATAATAATCATTCCTGTTCACACAGAACTTTTAAGGTTTACTCAAGCACTAAAATCCTACTGGGGGGGAGGGAGAGGGCAGTCGGGAGTATAGAGCAAGTATTATTATCTCTGTTTCAGATTTGAGGGAAATCAAACTCTGAGATGTTAAATTCCTTGCCTATGATAAGTCTCCTGTGAACTCGAGTCTCCTGTGAACTAGTCCCCTGCCTCTAAGTCTAGCACTTTATCCAATATATCACACTGCTTTAGAATATCTCTAATTTAATTCAATTCAATTAGTATTCATGGTAACTGGGTTCAAATTCAATCTCCTCTACTTAATATTTCCATTTGGTTGGGCCAGATTATCTCTAAGATACTTCCTACTCTAAATATATGATCTTTGATTCCATGAAACATCTAATATGTGTCCAGCATAAAGAATATAATGAATCTATTGGAAAATAGCTTTAGGACACATAAACTTTCAAAAATGCAATACTATGATTTTAAAAATCAGAAAAATGGAGTTAAGACTACTAGGTTCCTACTTACATCAAACCAGGAGGAACTTGATATTTGACTTTGAAATTTACATCTTAGAGATCTGGTCAGATACCCAGCCAAATATAATTCATTACTAAACCACTGAATCCCTCGTTTTTACTTCATTTAATCAGAATCAATGGTGTGAGAAGCAAAGTTGTCAAAAGCAGATCATTAAGGAGGAAATGACTTCCCTGAAAGGATGGCCTGGGTTCTTAAATATTTTCTTTTAAATTTTGAACTTAACAAAAACTAAATAAAATGGGAATTTCCATATGCAAAGTAAAAGAGAAAAATAAAATTGTACATGAAATTTTGAATCTCTATTACATATAGTTTGATTATCCTTTTATATATATAATAAATTAAAATATAATTTTCAAGGCTGTCCTATTGGTCTGAGTTTCCTTCTGTTCTCTTCTATGCATTTTTAAATTGCTTCAATGACTCTCTCATCTGTCTTTTCTCTGTTGTTTTTTTTTCTGCAAGCTTATTAGCTTTCCTTAATCCTTTCTCCCACATATATTCACGCATATAAAAAGGAACAGGAAAAATAAAACATAATAAATATACACTATCAAACAAAACTAATCCCCACACTGAACATATCCAGAAACATATGTGTCATAATGCACTCTGAGTCCATCATCTCTCTGTCAAGAAATGGGTAGCATGTTTCACCATAGGCTCTCTAGATTCGTAGTCAGTTCACTGCAATGAACAAAGTTTTTTTGTTTTTTAACATGTTGTTGTTATTGTGTAAAATGTTATCTGGTTTCTGCTCACTTTACTCAGCATCTGTTCATATAAGCCTTTCCAGTTTACTCTGAAAGTATCCCTTCAGTGATTTCTTCTTTTTTTTTTTTTTTGGTGAGGCAATCAGGGTTAAGTGACTTGCCCAGGGTCACACAGCTAGTAAGAGTCAAGTGTCTGAGGCTGGATTTGAACTCAGGTCCTCCTGACTCTAAGGCCAGAGCTCTAACCACTGTGCCACCTCGCTGCCCCTTCAGTGATTTCTTACAATGCAATAATATTCCCATACATTCATATGCTACAACTTCCTCAGCCATTTCCTGATTGAGAGGTAACTCTTTAGTTTCCAGTTTATTTTAATAGCAAAAAGAGCTGCTATAAACATTCTTGCCTACTTGAGTTGCTTCTTCTATTTTTTGTTCAAATAAACTATTATTAATCTCTTATTTTCATACAGCCTAGATTTCCCACACATTTCTCCCAAGGAGCTATCCTTTATAAAAAAAAAATATACATATATATATATATATATATATATATGTAGAAGAGGAAGAAGCGAAAAATATTCAGCAAAATCAATAAACCTATTGAAAAAAATCTGACATTATTTACAGTGTTCTACACCTATGGACTCTGACTTCTACAAAGGAAAAGGGGATGTGTCTTCTAATATTTCTTTTGGAGGTCAGCGTTTTCTTCATATTTTCACAATATGAGCTTCCATTATTTTACTGTTGTTCTTTTCATTTATATTATTGTCCTGTTAAATCGTATTACTGGCTCTATTTTGTTCAATTTTCATCAGTTCTTCTAAGTTTTTCATTTTCCCATTCTTCTCTGTATTCATCACCCTCACTGTTTCTTACAGCAGAATATTCCACTGCCTTCACATAACACAATTCATTTAATTATTGCCCAATCAACAGACATAAAACATCTACTTGGTTTCCAGGTCTACAAAAGAGCTGCTATAAATATTTTCATGTGTACAGAGCCTTTCTTCTTGTCAACTAGCTCTTGAGTTATATGCCTAGCAATGGAATCCCTAGGTCAAAAGATAAGGGCATTGTCTTTGCTTCATTTGTTTAATTTCAAATTGCTTTCCAAAATGGTTCTGCCAAATCAAAGCCCCAAACCAATTCATAAGTATGCCTGTCTATCAACAACCATCTTTGAAATTTGCTGGGTATGAGGTGAAGCATCAAGGTTATTTTGATTTGCATAACTCTTCTTAAAAGTGATTCAGAGTATTCTTTCATATGGTTATTAATAGTTTTCAATTCTTTTGAGAACATCTAATGGGGAACTGCTCACTCAATGCCCAACTCTAAACCTAACTAACCACTGTGTTCCCTGGAATACTTGTTTTCATCTTAAATTTGTTCCTTTCTCACTTATTCCATCTTTCCAGCCACCATTTCCAGCAATGGTTTTCGCTCATTCTCCTGGGAGAGATGGAATACTCCTTGCTCCCCACTGTCACTTCCAAGCTCTTCCTCTGCTGTCTTCACTCAGTAAACATTCCTCCTTTGAGGTCCATTCAATCCATAACTACTATCCAATCAAAATTCTGACAGCTGTTGTCTACAGATCTCTAAGAGCCTGCCCTTCTTTACTCAATGAGATCAGTGCCTGGCTCACAATCTTTTCTCCCCAACTGCTACCCTTATACTAAGGGACTTCAACACACATACTGATACTCCCTCACATATGCTAACCTCCCATTTCCTTCATTTACTGATTTTGCATGACCTCTACTCTACCACAACTACACACAGAGATGATAGCCATAACATGAATCTTGTCAGCATTCAAAAATGAACCATATCCATGTTTGTAACCTCTGAAATTCTTTCATCAGATCACAATCTATTGCCATTTCACCTTTACCTCTGCTTTACAACACCAAAACTTGTTCTTCATACTCATAGTGATCTCCAATCCCTCCACCCCTTGGTTGTTTCCTAGGCTATCACCATGCATTAGCCAACTCTCTTCCCTTCCCTATCTTGAACCCTTAATTAACCAGTTCAAGTCTATACTGTCCTCTTCTCTCAAGTCCCTATCATCAATATGGCTCCACCAAGACTTAATCTTCAATCATTTCCATCATCTATTGGCTTTACTCCCAACATGCCTTCACACTTCACCGTGCTACTAAAAGAAGCTGAAGAACATCACAAAACTTGCTAAGTCAAATAAAAATGAACACTATATAATCTCAACTGGGTCCTCACTAAGGTAGGCCAAATCCTTTTTTCACCTCCCTATCCCATCACTATCTCTTTTCATCTCTCTTCAAATTTCCCATGGCTCCTCCTCCACTCACTCAGCTGAAAACCTTGCTCCACAGTTCATGGAAAAATCTGAGGTCACTTGCCAAGAGCTCCCTTTCCCCTGCTCCTCATCTCACATCCATCCAGAACCTTTCTGCCACTACCTCCTCCTTCACTCCTGTCTTACATAAAGAGGTGACCTTTCTCCTTGCAAGGCAAACCTACTCTATACTGGCTTCTCCAGCACATGGCCTCCTCTATCATTGCCATTCTTCCCTGTATCTTCATTCTTTATCTCCTGGCTGTTTTCCTGTTGTATACAAACATGCCCATATCTCACTTACCCTCAAAAAAACCTCAGTTTATCTATCTATCTTCACTAGCTATCATCCCATATTTTTCCTAGTCAGTCTACTTAACTAATATTATTGTAAGAATTACATTTATAAATAACATATTTTACATATATTATACCTAGAGATAATTAGATAAGATAGACTCTTCCTTATAATAGGCCCCAAACTTTAAACTACAAGCTATAAGTTCACTGTTCACAAACCTGTAATAAAGTTTACTTGCCTAACCACAAGAATACTGACTGGAGGACCTCCACCCTTTCAGGTGATGAGTGAATGACCAAGCACAGCGTGAGTGAGATGTCTCAACATGATATGTAAAGCCCCAACTTATTTTTTGTATGTCCAGAGCACCCTTTCTTGCCCACCATGAGGGGACCATCTTATAACCACTTAGTCAGCAGTAATGACCCTTGAATGCCCATCTGGTGCCCACTCATGCTGATGCATCACTTCTGGCCCTCTTGGATGGTCAAAATCAAGGTCTATCAAACAATGAGACTCGGTATTTTATTTTGGCTCTTGTGTGTCTGGGCATCAAGTACTATAAAAGTAATGCCCTAGCGAAAAGGGCTATCTCAGATTGTGAGGAAGATCTGAAGTACCATTCATTGAAGGAGTTCAGTTCTTTTAATAAATGGTTCTTGGCTCAGAGCTCTGTCTCAGCGGTTTTTCTTGCAGAATGAACATTTTTGGACCCCACAAGCTTAACAATTATTATCTCACTTAATCCTTACAACTATAGAAGGTGGGTACTATTAGTATTCCTATTTTACAGATGAGGAAACTGAGGCCAAGAGAAGTTAAGTGACTTAACCCAGGATTAAGTTAGTAGTATCCCAGGCCAGGTTTGAACTCAGGTCTTCCTGACTCTAGGCCCAGCACTCTGTGCACTATGGTGCCACCTAACTGTAACTGTCTGAACTTATACCCTGACTGATAAAACCAAGGGGCTTGATTAGATGTTCTTGCGGGTCCTTCATAGCTCATTAAAGATTGTTAAGGGGTTCTTGTTTTAGTGCTAGCAGAGTTCTTGCATTCTGTCTGGTGCCTCTTACGTGGACCATTTCTTCTTCATCCTACTGTTAAGGGGTCCCCTGAATGTGTCTTTTGAGTTGCCAAAGCTTCCAGAAACAATGGATTCAGAGCATGCAGGAGGCCCTGAATGTATCAAGGATGAAGCCCCCCCTGAGCTGACAATGTATTGTTTGCATCCCAAACTGGTTTCCCTATGTGTCCTTGGGAGTCAAGACAGGTTCCAGTCAGTCTGCACAAGGCTGAGAAATTGCTTGTGCCACTGGGACCCATGTAGATAATAAATAGATCATCCTATCTTCATATTCTCTCAGTTCCCAACAGAAAAGAGTACAGCTTTTGCCATCGCCTTGCTCCCTACCCCCTTCACAAGAAGTTTTGTCCTTTTCCCACCTTAACTGCACCATTTCCCCCATCTCATGCAATTCCCCTGTAGGTGGAGATTTCTGGTATTCCTTCCTTTGTCTTGCCGTTATAAACATGCAAACTTCTGTATGAATTGTGAAATCTTCAGGTTCCACATGCACGTTAATTTCTCTTGTAATAAACCTAGTTTTCACATAAGTTTCGTGAAGTTGTGATTGCCTGCTGACGAGCTCTAAATCCTATGGTCTTATAAAAGTGATATCTGAGGGGTTTCTGGTTTTTGTTTTTAAATTTCTTTTAGTATTTGTTTTAAATGGTATAGATGGTAGTTTGGAAGAATAAAGAAAATTAGTTTATGTGATTATACATATATAATCAGTTATTTTTATAAAATTTTTATAAAATAAGATTTTGTTACAGCTAAAAAATGAACACAATGCAGCTACTAAATGGAGAATGGCTAAACAAAATATGGTATGTGAATGTTACAATAAGAAATAGCAAATGAGGATTTTAGAGAAATGTGGGAACACTTGTGTGAACTGATGCAGAGTAAGATAAGCAGAGCCAAGGCAGTACCTATGCACTGAGACTCCAATAATGAAATACATGCAACATTAAAGGCAGCCTCAGTCAGACTGATTGTGGTGACAAACGTGGTCCTCCAGAAGAGATGACGAAACACTGTCCTCATCCTGGAAGAGGCAGAGGACAACTAGAGGAGAAGGTCACTAACAAGCACAGTCAGTTTGTAAGTTTGGTTTTGCTTTAACTCTTCTTTGTTACAAGGAAAAATTCAGCAACAGTTCAGGAAAGGCCTAATGTAAAAACAAAAGACCTCAATAAAACCTTTTTTAAAAGGTTAAATGCATGAATAAATATATTAAGTGAAATGACTCCTGGCTTTCTTAATTAGCTATGCATGAAATATGTCTAAAAGTTGGGTCAGTTTTTCCCTACAGAGTCAAAACACTGGATGGCAGTTATTGGGTGAAAGCAAAGTCTTTCTGAAAAATTTTTTTAAATTTCTAAGGCTGGCCCAAACCCTTTAGCATAATGGAAATGGCATAGTATCTCAGCCAGAAACACCCAAAGACCTTCACCTGATACTTACAGACCTCTCAGCTGAAATACTTTCATAATCTTAGTAATCAGAAAGAAAGAATTAGGTTACTTTGGAGTTGCTGAGTCTGAGCCCTTGTTTGCAGAAATCTGACCTCTTAAAATCATGAGGAGAATGACTGGGTATAATGGCGTTCTGTTTCCATACAGAAAATAATAAAAATTTCTCTCATATAAAATATGTAAAATGGTAGTTTCTATAAGTAGACATACACAAGTCCCATCTGTTTCCCAAGACAATGAACTGTTTGTTTCCAAGTATTCAAATGTTTTAAAACTGATTTTTATTAAAATTATGTTTAAACTATCATTAAACTTGACATCACAATAAATGGTGAAAAAATGTAAAACTCAGGAAATCTGATATCAAATATAGATTTCATCTCTAATTTTTTTTTTTAATTTTAAAGTACATTTTAATAGTTCAAGTATAAGTACAGGTTTGGTCCTGGCTCTTACCAGGCAATATGATCTTAAGTCATAAAACAATTTTCTTTCTTAATTTATTTAGCAACTTTGGACGGTTCATCAATATACTATTGTAGATTCATACTACAGTTGATCTAGGAGCAAAGGAAATCTCTACTCTGACTAATAGACTGAAAGAATATACAACACTAAAATTATAATCAATATACTATGTCTTTCAAAAAGTCTTAAGTATAATGTATAAATATATCAGAATCTAGTAGCAGTAGGGCTCAATAAACCAGAGAATAAATATATTATAAGAGATGAAAAAACAAAGATCCATTTGTTAAAGTGGAATCTTTTTGCTTTAAGTACAATTATTACACTTAAAACATTTTAAATTCTTTTAAGACAATAAAATTGTTTTCTTACCTGGGATACATTACTGACATAATTCATGTGGGCCGTACTTTCCTTATCAATTTGATTGCAGAGATTCTGTAAAGTAGATGCATATTCTTTATCACTTTTTATTCTCAGTGCCATAAACTTCTTGACTGTTTCCAAGAGTCGTAATTCCCAATCTTGCAATTTTAACAGTGCATCGTGTGAATTCTTCAGGTCACTTCCAAATCCCATCTTCATAAAGCACTAACTGCTCCACTGGTTGTAAGAAATTCTTTTAATCAGCATGTGTCCATATCTGTAAAATGAGAGAATCCTAAGCTAAAAAGGAGCTTGGCTCTCCAGCAGTACAGTGTTGTGCAAAGGGCACCAACTATGAGTTTGTCACTTACTAGACTGGTGACTTCTGTTTGCTCATTGTTTAAAAGTTCAATGAGAGACACAGCATAGCAGTGTATAGGTTACAGGAGATCTCCGAGATATCCAGGTTCAAGTCCTGCCTCTGATACATCCTGGCTGTGAGGCACCAGACAAGTCATTTAATCTCTCAGTGCCCCAGGGAACTTTCTAAGATTATAAATTACAGAGAAGGTATCAATATGTATGGATTAGACTCTAATCCTCAGGAGGAGCTTTCTACATTGATTAAATCATAGATCCACTTGAAAAAAAAGAGAGAAAGAGAAAATACTAGCCCTGCCTATTTCACATGATATTTAGTGCTTTGTAAACTAGTCTTTCATACATATAGGATAGTATTGTTAAAGCAAAGTATCACTATAGTATAACTTCTGATTATACAAACTTCAACTAAAACTTCTCAATAATAATATCCTGTTACAAAAGGTTAACCGTATTTCCTGAAGACTACAGTAAACTTTACTTTGTTTTCTAGTCTTTTAGCAGCTTTTTCAAAATAAGCTAGCAAAACAGAAGGTAGAAACATCTATTTTGTTGTAATCTGGTTCACAAGACCTTTCAAAGTCAACTTAAGCTGACTTGCCTTAAACCACATATGTTTATTTTTTTCTTTCCAACTTCAATGATTTGATGTAAAAAGATGTTAGGTGCTAAGGTTTCACAAATGCAGGAAAAAAAAATAACCTTTTTTTTTCCCCCTGAACAAATGGTGTACATCTGAATAATCATGAGTTAGGGCAAGATAAGCACACTGACAAAAGTCAGTAAACTCTTCATACTCTTGGGTCCATAAATCCCTCTACTAGATACATGAACGAAAATCACTGGAAAGGAAAAATAAAGAATAAAAAAATGGTCTTCCACATGACAAAAATGTCATAGCATCTCTTTTTGTGCTGGAAAAAAAAACAACAACCGGAAATAAAAGATAATGGACTAGAGAAAAACTGAACAAATTGTGACATAAGAGTATGATGCAATATTATTAAGCCATAAAAATAACAAATCTGAGTCCCAGGGATGAAGGATGGCCAGAGAAGTAAGAGATGGGAGTGACATTTGAGAACAACAGGGAGAAGGCCAGTTTGGTTGGACCTTAAAAGGTGAATAATATAATTAGGATGTAAAGAAAGGATCAAACCATGTTGTAAAGGGCTTTGGTTTGAATCTTTCTGTAGCTTTGCTAGCAATTTATCATTATTATGATTATATTTGTTAATAATTTATTATAAATCTACTTACAAAGTCTTCCCAAGTTTCTTTGAATTCATTTTTGTCATTTCTCATGGCATGGTAATATTTTATTACATTCATATAACATAATGTGTGTAGCTATTCTCGTATTTTATGTCCAGTCTTTAAACTCCGTGGGACATATGCCCTGTAGGAGAACTGAGGTGTCAAAAAGTATCAAGTTTTTCTAGTATAGTCCCAAATCGTTTTCCAAAGGATCCTCTTCTTTTCTCTTGCTACATAAACTTGGGAAGACTTCATCAACAAATAACTAACTTTTATACTAACAAACCCTATAGCATTTATTTATTGAGGTTGAGAGAGGTTAAATGATTTGTCAGGGTCACATAATTATTAAGTGTCTGAGGCAAGATTCAAATTCAGCTTAACCAAGGAGATATTTGTAAAAAGTGAATGGCACAGTGCCTGGTGCATAGTAGGCACTATATAAATGCTTATTCCCTTCCCCCCTTTTAGACTCTAACAATGTTTTAACTACTATGCCTCCAAAGAGTGACATAAAAATTCAAGGAACAATGTTAAAACTTCTGGATTTTCGGAAACTATTATCTCAAGTTCTACAAAGAACTTTACCTTTAGCCACTAAGAATATATCTTTGCTACCTGCATTCTATAAATAGAGATGTAGAGCACATTCACATAATTGGATCTATATAGAGCCTCCAAAGAATAGACTTTTCCCAAGGGACTCACATTTTAGGCCAGCATCAAAAGAGTCTGATAATGCCACATTTCTACTGAGGACTTTTTGTTTTTAAACCATTTTACTTCATTGATAATGAAAATTGAAAAGAGTGCCTGCTATGGCCCCATCATCTCTTGAATTCTTACTCACCTAAAATACTGTTACTTATTCAAGAAACCCTCCCTGATCCTCCTTCTCAGTAACGACAATACCTCCCCTGCCCCCAGACTTTATACAATATTCTGTGCCTCTATCAAGCATTTAACATGTACTATTTTATATTATTGTTTCTTGTATATGTATCATATTTCCCAGTAGATTTTAAAGTACAATAGGGTAGGAACTATAACTTAACTAAATTTTGTCCCTCTTTCAGTACTTAACACAGTGCTCTGAACATAATGAGTAATTAACATTTGTTGAATTAAATTAAATACAAAATAACATGAATTTTGGGATAATTATGATTTTTATCTCAATGAATGAAGACATTTTTAAAAGTCACTTTATAATGCAAATAAATATGAGAAATAATTTAATAAATTTTATAATTCTGTTAATAAATTTTGTAATTCCCTATACTATGAGATTTTTGAAAAGAAAAATAATAATAGGCCTCTCTATTATGACATCTTTGAAATTTACAAAATGGTTACCTTACAAACTACCTTTTGAATAACTTATTGAGTATTAATATTTCCATTTGACAATGGCAGAAACTGAAGCTCAAAGAAATGAAGTGACTTGCCTAAGTTTAGAGACAATGAATCAATAAATATTTATGAAGCACCTACCATGTAGGTACTACTACTAGACAGCACTGTGCTAAGCGCTGGGGATACAAAAAAGGCAAAAGACAGACCCTGCCCTCAATGTGCTCACAGGCTAGTGGAGGTCGCAAATCAACATCACATCTAGGGGTTAAACCCACAGTTCCAGTATTTGCTTGACCTCTATCTACATCATGCTTTATAAAAATATTAATAAACATTACTGGTATACCCATGTAGTTTCATTTTAAGATGAAGGACATACTCAAAGGAAGCCAGGAGGCAGAGATGAGAAGAAAGCACTGCAGGCCTGGGAGGCAGAAAGCCAGAGAAAATGTTCCTCATGGAGAGAGAGAGTCTACTGTGCAAGGATCAGCAAGGAAGCTGGGGTCCCAGCATCACAGAGTAAGTTTTGGGGAGCAAAGTGTAAGAAGAATGAAAAAAATAAGAAGAGACCAAACTAAGAAGATCTTCAAAAGCTAGGCAGGGAATCTTACATTTGACATGAAGGTAACAGAAAGCCACTGTATTTTATTGAATAGGAGGGTAACATAGACAGACCTGTACTTTAGGAAGATCAATTTAACAGCACAGTGGAGGATGGACTGTAGTGAGGTAAGATTAGACAGATGTGAATTAGGTGAGAGAAGAAGCAAGTGAGAAGATAGTGTTCTCCGCAAATGGTGGCAATTTTTTTTTCAGTGAATTATAAGCAATGTCCTCAGCCTAGAGGGTGGGAAAAGGGGTATCATCAAAGTCTTGAAGAGAGAGAAAAATGTTTGTAATAGCAGCTGTGAAGAGTGTGAGAGTGAATTGATTAAGGGAGTATAAGAGGTATGCCTTGTTGCAATAAGAGCCCAGTTGGGATTACAAAAAATAAATTGGTTAGTGGACCCAGCAAGTATGATTTTCTGACTTTCTCCAGAAATAACTGTGGTTGATGGGAGTAATCTACAGCTGGGCATAGCAAAGCATGATCAGTCAAATAAAAAGGGAACCCAGTGTAGAACTTGTTCGCCAAGATGTCAAGACAGAGAAGGCAGGAGAATGCAGTCAGTACATGGGGTTATGTGCTAGGGAAAAACTAAGTCTTCAAGGGACCTGAAGTCTCTATGAAGGAGGGAAAAAAAAAAGACGACTAGGTATTGTAAGAGAAGGAAAGATGGAATGATAAAAGATTCTGGTGTTAATGAAATTTTTTTTAACTGTAGACAAGCGGGGGCAGAGCCAAGATGGCAGAGTAAAAGCAGTGACTTGTTTGAGCTCTCCCCTAAACCCCTCCAAATACCTGTAAAAACCAGCTCTAAAGTTCTAGAGGAGTAGAACCCACAAAAAGACAGTGAAACAAATTTCCAGCACGAGATAACCTGGATGGTTGATTAGAAAGGTCTATCATGCCAGGCTGGGAGAAGAACAGTTTGGCGTGGGTGCACAGCAAAAGACCAAGCCTCAGCAATCCTGGAGAAGGCCTCAGGGGACTGAATCACAGAGAGCTGTGATAGTTTCCAGACTTCTCAACCCACAAACACCAAAGACAACTTAGAAGGTCAGTAGGTAAAGTCTGTGACCCAGGTAAGAGAGAAGCTCAGTTCCAGCCCCAGTCCTGGCTTGACCCTGGGCCGTGGCTCTTTTGGAGCTTTCAGCCCACGGACTGAGAGGGAATCTAGTGGCTGATCAGAGGGCAATTGCAGGGACCTCTTTGCCGGTGCTGAGGCAGGATTCTCTTCCTTTGCCTGAGCTTGGATCTGGGTCACAGTTCTGGGTGGCAATCCTGAGGCGAGAAAGAGCGCTGGCATGGTAGAGTTTGGAGTGGTGGTGGAGAGGAAATCCTCCTCACAGTCCCAAGGCAGAAAAGAGTGCTTGTGGTCACTCATAGACTAGAGCACAGGCCAGGAAAGGGGTAAACACCTCGACCTTTCTCTGATAAAGGCCTCATTTCTCAAACATATAGAGAACTGAGTCAAATTTATAAAAATAAAAGCCATTTCCCAAATGATAAATGATCAAAAGATATTTAGTTTTCAGATGAAGTAATCAAAACTATCTACAGCCATAGGAAAAAATGCTTTAATTCACTATTGACTGGAGAAATGCAAATTAAAATAGTTTTGAGGTATTACCTCATACCTATTCAATTGGCTAGTAGAACAATGAAGGAAAATGACAAAT